TGAGAAGAGGCCAAGAAAGTATGGAAGTTGCAAAGCTAACATCCTGGGATGGGGCTAAGAATAGTATTCAGTACATCTACCTATGAGATGGATAGTAAGAGATCCAAGATGTCACTTTTAGAACTCAGGTGTTCCTGGTCATGATATTTTCTTTCTTTCATTTTTTTAAAAGATCATTTTATTGGTGGTTATTATAGCTCTGATAACAATCCATACCTCAATTGTATCAAGCATATTTGTACATATGTTGCCATCATTATTTTCTAAACATTTACTTTCTATTTGAGCCTTTGGTATCAGCTCCAGGTATTTTCAATCACTTTATATGCATGCAGAAGCCAGACAATGAATAAGGACACATTGATCCTCTTGAATGATGGTGTTGTTGAAGAATATTAAATATTATTAAATATATCATTGACTTCCAGAAGAACAAACAAGTATACCTTGCAATAAATACAGCTAAATGAACTCAGAAGTAAAGATGGTGAAGTGTTGTCTTACCCACTTGGGACATGTCATCGGGAGGAGGACGTGTACCCAGAGAAGGACCTTATGCATGTTAATAGTGCATCCGTGAAAAAGAGAAGGTGCTTGACCGTGGCTGCAACAATGGGCTCAAGCAATGCAATGATTGGGAAGATGGCAAAGGACGTTGTAATGTTTTTTGTTCTGTTGTGCATAGGGTTGCTATGAGTCAGAATTCAACAGCATCCAGCAGCCCAACAATAGCCCATGAGCTAGATATTGTTATCTCTATCTTATGTCAGGACCCCGTGGCTCCGATAGGATACATCTTCATAAGCTATCTTATAGCAATAACCTGAGGAATCCTGAATGTGAACTCAGGAGTTCAGACTCCTAGAAATACTTTCTTCCATGGCTTCTTGAGAATGTTTATCTATTGACCTAAGAGCTTAGGGCTGATCTCTGTCCTCTCACTTTATGTCTGTAATTTCAAACTATACCAGTGATTTCCTTATGGTTCATGGTGAGCCTCCCAATCATTGAAAGAAGGAAGCTGATGGTATGAGTTAAATTGATTTGGGTCCTCGTCTTAACTCTGCCTAGAGTCAATAAACTAGGATTTGTTAAAGCACAAACACCAGCCACTTTGGACAGCCACATCGAAGGTCTGTAAGTTAGCTTGTGAGCAGTCATGATGATGCTGTATGGTATCCGGAAGGCTGGACTGTGGGGAAGGGTGTGTCAAGCAAGATGTGAGTGGGCACTGGGGTGTGATTTGGAACTTTATTGTTACTGAGGGAGATATGTATGGAAGAAATGAAGTTTCTAGTAAGAAGAAGAATTATGTAGGGATTGATCTTGACCCTTGGAAAGGGAAATGTCATCAAGTAGCCAAGTGTAGGGGGAGAAGCAGGAGTATGGGGAGCCAATGAATATCAAGAATAGTTTTCTGCAAACAAAGAAGACCTGGTGGCTCATAGATTATATGTTGGGCTGCTAATTTCAGTAGAAAGATAAGGCTTTCCGCTCCCATAAAGATATAACGCTTTGAAAATCTAAAGGCAGCAGTTCTGATCTATGCTATTGGGTTACTTTGAGTCAGAATCAACTTAATTGCTACTGCTTTTTTCTTCTTCTGTAAACCAAGGATGCAAAGGAAGGAGAATGAAGAGAAGTTGTGATTGAAAGACAGTGAAACAACTTTAAAATCAATAGGAAACAAAACTTTGGACAGTAACACTGTCCTGACAGCCCTACACATTATAATGAAATATTAATCTACTAACTGTTTTCCCCCTTTCTGGTCTTGCCTTTAGCTTAACCTTTACGTACTAAGTGACTTACTTTCTGGTTGACTAGCATTCCAGTGATCTCTCATCATCTATACAGGACACACAACACTTCAGAAGATGGTCCCAGGCTCTACCTTCAGGTTTTTGTAATTCCACATTCATCTATTTGTTCTATAAATATTTATTGAGCACTCTTAAGGTAAGGTACAGTGCCTGGAGGCAGGGGTTTGCAGACAATTCTTGATCTCATATAGGTTAGGTTCTATTAGGCGAGAAAGATCTTAAATAGCTACTATCTAATTTATTTTTATTTAATTACAGTTGTGATAAGAGTCATGATGAAGACTAGGGTGCATTGAGAATAGATAATAAAGGTATGGGCTGGAGTAGTTAGTCTGAAGAGGGCAGAAATAGACAAGGTGACCAAACAGTGAGTAAGAGTTAACTCAATAAAGAATGGAGTGGAGACGTCGGGCAGTGTAAGATATGACAAAATAATATTTTATAAATTATCAAGGGTTCATGAGGGAGTGGGGGGCAGGGAGAGAGGGGAAAATGAGGAGCTGATGCCAGGTGTTTAAATGGAGAGCAAATGTTTTGAGAATGATGAGGGCAATGAATGCACAAACGTGCTTTTCACAAATGATATTTGAATGGATTGTGATAAGAGTTGTATGAGCCCCTAATAAAGTGATTTAAAAAAATAAATACAAATCCTGATCCAAAAAAAAAGGAGAATGGAATGGAGAACATTCCAGGTAGAAAAATGAGCCTGTGTCTTTTCATGCAATGTCCTGATGTTCCTTATTCTTCAGAGCCTTGGAAATGCAATGGGAGGAAAAACAGAAAAATGAAGAGAGATAAAATAAAGGTGTACATCTCTTGGCAAAGAGATTTGACAGGAACGTCAGCTAGATCAAGAGGATGTGACATCATGAAAACTGAAGGATGGGAGATACTTAAAATGTTAATAAATGGCTTGGGCTATGCAGGGAGCCAGGGATCTGCTGATGATCCTTGTTCTCCTGGAGGTTCCATTTGGTTTCATTTCTGAGTGAGACCAAGAAAAGGGATCACTAAGGAATCCTCCCCAAATCCTGTACCACCCATGAATGATTCTTTTCTTCATGAAGATTACCAACTTCACAAAACCTCAAGCACAGGAAATGACACAGATACAGGCCCACCTGGAGGCTGGCTCACCCAGCTTCCTAACCCTGTAATACTTTGCCTTTCTCCTCATTGGCGTCAGATACTGCTGCTCAGAAGCACATCCTAGACCTATCATTAGGCAGAAATGCTTTAATTATCAAATCATAGATCTTTACATTCCAAGATCTAAACTCACTCTTTTAGCCTACTAATCATCTTATCATTTCTGTTATGCTAACTACACATTTCTTTTTCATTTTATTATTATTTTTAAATGGAACATTACAAGGTTTACAGAGCAGACCATAATTTTAAATTCAACTAATTCATTGAAATCTCCCCACTGTACTATCACTTATCCCACTCCCTCCCTGTGTTTTCCATTTCCAGCCTTTCTTATTTCCTAATCCTCTCAACCGGGTTGGTGGGTAAATGCTGCCCTTTTGATCTTAAATGATTGATTATTCAAACAGGAAGGTGAGTTCACTTTCAGACCTGAAGGTCATAGTCTTTGGGGTCCCATTATTCTTTATTTGACGAGTGTTTTTCATGATTGTAGATCTATTACACATTTCCCATCTCTGGTCAGAACCTTCTAATGTGAGCCTTTTAGAGAAGTTAGTGGGAGCCAGGCATTATCTAGTTCTAACCTTCGAGTTGTGAAGACTGACATTTGAACTGCTTTTTTTCCATGTGATTTTCGATTTTTTAAAAAAAACCAATTTATTGGGGCTCATACAATTCATCACAATACATAGATCAATTGTGTAAAGCACATCTATACATTTGTTGCCCTCATTATTCCCAAAATTCGCTTGCCTCTTGGGCTCCCGGAATCCGCTTATTTTCCTTTTTTTCCCCCCTCCCTTTCCCTTCCTCCTCCCCTCTCCCCCATGCACCCTTAATGGGGGGCGGGCAGCAGAAGGGTGGGTGAAGGGAGACGCCGGACAGTGTAATATAAGATTTTCGATTTTTGTCACTTTAACTCTCCCAAACCTCCCAAGGTTTCCCCTGGCCGCCATGATTTTTCCCCAACTTCCCCCTTATTTTGCACTGCCCTCCCCTCCCCTTCCTCCAAGCTAACGCTTGTCTGTTCTCTGGCCTGTGACCTCTCCTTTCTCCCTTGCTCTTCCATCCCTGCTTACTATCAAAGACTTTTTATTTGTGTGTGAAAACCTATTCTTGACTTTTTCTAAAAGTGGTCACACACAATGTTTGTTCTTTTGTGTTTGACCAATTTCACTCCGCAGAATGTCTTCATCTACCTTCAGTTTTATCTTTTCTTATTCTTCCCTTTACTTCAGTCACACATGATAAATAGACACAGATTTGGATAGGCCCTTCTCGGACTGCTCTTCCCATTTAATACTATAATTAGTTCCTAATATTTTGATATCACAAGCTTCTAAGATATGCAAAAGATTCTTATATTTAAATTAATTAAAAAACCCTTTTGTTTTTATTTTGGTCAAGGTTTACAGGACAGATCAGTTTTCCATTCAAGAATCCTTACAAATTTTGCTTCCTGTCATTGATTGTAATCTCCACAGTGTTATCCTTACTCCATTTCCTTCTTGTGTCTCCTTTTCATTTCTCCTCCTTTCTTAACCCTTCTGAATTTTGCCCTTGGATAAAATGTTGTACCCTTGATCTTACATGGTTATTTGAAGGTGTTTGAAACTCCCTGAGGTTATTATATCCCATATAGATATGCCTTCTGCTTGAGTAAATATTGAGTCATAGGAATGAATTTATTTCCATACTTGAGGGGTGACTAAGGGCCATAATCTTGGGGATTCTACCAGTCTCTGTCTGACCAGAAAGCCTTGTCTTTTTATGATTTTGTTCCACATTCTTCTCTCACTCTATCCAGGAACTTCTAATGCAATCCTTTTCATAGCTATTGGTAGTGGTAGCTGGGCACCATCTAGTTCATCTGGTCTCAAACCTATGTTCCTGTGGTCCATCAGTCTGTTGAATGAATTGATTCTATGTATAAATTCCACCCAGCATCTCACTGAGAACATCTTTTGTTTTGCATCATTTCAGATCATGCCACTCCAACGACTCCCTCCTGGTGGTGGCTTCATGGCTGACACACACAATGTGACTGAATTTATTTTTCTGGGGCTTTCTCCTAATCTGGAGGTGCAGAGAGTTTGCTTTGTGCTCTTTTTGCTGTTGTACACAGCAATCGTGCTGGGGAATTTCCTCATTGTGCTCACTGTTATCACCAGCAGCAATCTTGCTTCCCCCATGTACTTCTTCCTCAGTTACCTGTCCTTTGTGGAGATCTGCTACTCTTCTACCACTGCCCCTAAACTTATTGCAGACTTGCTGGCTGAAAGGAAAGCCATATCTCGATGGGGCTGCATGACACAGCTTTTCTTCATCCACTTCTTTGGGGGCACCGAGATTTTCCTGCTCACTGTGATGGCCTATGATCGCTATGTGGCCATTTGCAAGCCCCTCAACTACATCACCATCATGAACCGGCAACTGTGTGCTATCCTCGTGGGAATAGCATGGGTGGGTGGCTTTGTACATTCCTTTGCCCAAATCCTTCTTGTGTTCCACTTACCCTTCTGTGGCCCCAATGTGATTGACCATTATTTTTGTGACCTGCTGCCTCTGCTCAGACTTGCCTGTGCTGACACTTTGCTCATTGGTCTGCTGATTGTTGCCAATGGGGGAACACTGTCTGTGATTAGCTTTGTAGTTCTCTTAGCTTCTTATGTGGTTATTTTGCTTCATTTGAGGACTCGAAGCTCTGAGGGGCGGCGAAAGGCCCTGTCCACCTGTGGGTCTCACATTACTGTGGTACTCTTGTTCTTTGGGCCCTGTATCTTCATCTATCTGAGGCCTTCTACCACTCTGTCCGTGGACAAGATGGTGGCCGTGTTCTACACAGTGATCACCCCTCTCCTCAATCCTGTCATCTACTCCTTGAGAAATGCCGAAGTAAAGAAGGCCATGAAGAAGTTGTGGATTAAGACAATGAAACTGGATGAGAAATAGAGACTGAGTGTTACAGCTCCTTGGGTTTAGAATGATGCTGAGTCCAAATGGAAGGAAGAATGAATGGAAAGAAATAAGTACACGGCACCTGTTTGATTTAGGGCTATTCTAGTTCATGTCCATCTTAAAAGCACTTAATTGCTTGTAACATATATTCTCTTGTGGATCTACTGCAATTTAACTTGTCATTTGTCTGTTGTTAGATGTTTAAGTAATTTCTATTTTTTATTACTAAAGAACACTATGGTAAGTATCCTTGGATAGAAATCTTTATACTCCTGATAGTCTAATTTCCTATAGTGAATTGACTGTGTTAAAGGGTATAAGGATGGACAGAGTAACATTTTGTGACAATTTACCTTTCCACTGAGAATTTTCTTTCCAGAATGGGATGCTGTTTTTATACATTTTTGTCTTGATGAGAAATAGAATGCGTACATAGTTAAAGTATCTTCCTAGCTCAGGCAAGCCAAGCTGATTGGTGTCCAACCTTGATTCTTACTTATGGTGACCTCATGGGGTGGGTGGTAGGTGGGGGACAGCGTAAAACTGTGCTCTATAGTGTTTTCAAGGCTGTGAACTTCCAGGCCTTTCGGTTAATAGTTGAGCATTTAACTCTTTGGGCTAACCTGAGGACCTTATCTTATCTTTCCACAAGGGAAAAAGGTACCTTTACAGTGGAGGCACTTGAAAGACACAACTTTAAGCAGTTGATCAAGTTGTAGTGAGACATTTATATGGGACAAATTTATATCATGTACCTCCTAATATAATGTATTGGGGACCCATGTGTCACTTCTGTGGTCATTCTACCAAAAGTACGTAAGCTCAAGTCTAATCTCTAAAATATCAGGCAAACTCAATGTGAAGGACAATTTACAAAATGATTGGTTTGTATCCTTGGCCACTAACAGAGAGGTTGGTTGACAGCTTGAACTCACCCAGTGACACCTCAGAAGAAAAGGGCTGATGATCTACCCCTGGGGGATCAAAGCCACTGAAAACCTATAGGCTCATGACTTGGAACCTCATGGAGTTGGTGTGAGTTGGAATCACTTTGAGACCAGTAATTGGGTTGGTTTTCCTTTTTCATTTTCAAAGCGGCAAGGTCATGGAAGATAAAGACCAGGGAGAAATAATTCCAGATAAAAGGAGATTAAAAATAAAAATAAGTAAAAGTAACATGTGATTTGAGATTTGATCCAGGACTAGAGTGTGGCACAAGATCTGTAGAGAATAACAGGCATCATTGTTCATGGCCTGATTTTGATAATTGTACTATACTTACGTCAGAGGATGTCTTTAGTTTTAGGAGTTACTCATTGAAGGTCCAGAGCAGTGTTTCCCAAAGTGGGCTATACCACCTCCCTGGGGGCACTGGAATGACCCAGGGCCGCTACAAAAACATATACCTTCTCTTTGTCCTGGGGTATGGGCTCTAGAGTATAAAATATTTCAATTGTCGGGGGAGGGCATTGGGGATTAATTTTTCTGAAAAGGGGGTGATAGGCCAAGTACATTTGGGAACCTATGGTGTTCAAGAGACATCAGATTGACCATTTAGCTTAAATGTTTCAGAAAGAAATCCTACTTATTCAGAGAATGAATGTTAAGAAAACTGGCAAAATATTAACATCTGGGCAAAATGGATAAAAAATATGCCAAACTCAAAACTCACAGCAATTGAGTCAATTCCAACTTTTAAGGGCTCTACGTGACAGAACAGAACTGCCCCTTTGGGTTTCAAAGACTTTCTCTTCACCTTTTACGTGAGGATCAATACACAAAATAAGCAAATATGAAGCGTGCCTTATTTATTAACAATATAATTTTAAAAATGTCTACATTGTTATAGTTTTGTGGTATTCATTTAATAGAAGCATCATAATTTAATAACCTGTCTTCTACTGACAGTAGTTTCCCTCCTTCCCTCCCAAAATAGTGCTACAGTGATTAACTTGTTTTAAGTACATACAACTAATCTGCAGTATACATCTCCAGAAATGAAATTAATTGCTGGATCAAATGTGTGTGTTTCTTGGTAATTTCATAAAGCTAAAAAACTCACTGCCAATCATATCGTTGTGAATGAGGGGGAGTGCAGAGTGGGGACCCAAAGCCCATCTGTAGGCAACTGGACATCCCCTTACAGAAGGGTCTCAGGGAGGAGACGAGTCAGTAAGGGTGCAGTATAGCACCGATGGAAGATACAACTTTCCTTATCAACTATCTTGTTATCCAACATTTCCCCTATGTGACAATAGTAAAAAAATGTACTCCGACTCTTTTGTGCATTAATGGTGTATGTCTGATACTGATGAATGCTAAGTTGTGAGGCCAGAGTAATGCTAGCCTCGCACTGATGGTTAAAATTATACGTCAATTTGATTAGGCCATCATTCTCTATGGTTTGGTAGTCACATAATCATGTGATCTGATATTTATGTAATGATATAATTTGGCAGTTATGCAATGATGTAGACGTTTTGTGGCCTGATGTGGTCATCTTCTATTTTTGCTTAACACTGATTTTCCCATAAGGGCCTGCTCTTTGCCATCTAACTAGGAGAAGTGAATGTAGTTAATTATCATTATGTTTTCTTTATTGCTTTTGGAACACCCAAGGCTGCACTGTTTCTTCTTATGACCATATGAACTTTTATGAAATATTTTAATGTCTGATATGGGTTCACTCCCTTCTCATTACTCTTTATTTTCAAAAATTGTTTTTTATATGAATTTTAAATTCAATTTTACTTCTCTTCCTATCGCTACATCCACAAAGGAGCCTGTTATCATTGTCATTGAAGTCTCCTTACATGTATAAATTTATTTGGAAAAAAAATGTTATCTTAAAGATAAGGCATTTTCTTTACACAGGGCTATGATCTGCATTTCTATTTGTCCATGTCTGAGTTAGTTTATTGTGCCAACCTAGCCGATAAACACATGTGGGATTAATTGAAGGGTGGAGGGATAAATGGCTTGGTGAGCCTCACCTTTTGAGTTCTCGGGTCTCTTGCTTTGTGATGGTCAGACCAGGGTGCAGCTGCCTTAGCAGTTCCCTGATTCAGCTTGCAAGACTGATTTCCTACAAGACATCCCCAAGGAGAAACCACATGGAGCTACCCCGATGCAGCCCTGAGTGCTGGAGCAGCCGTGTGGAGACCCCTGCCAGTGCTGAGATGCTCACACATTCACTGACTCGGCTTTCCTCCTGCAGTCGGCATCATTGCATCTGTTTTGTGAGATGGAGGAGGACTTTGTGGACTGGTGTTGGACATATGGGTTAATGGGTTAATGTTGGACTTGTGGGCTTGGGCAGGACTGGGTTGGGATGTTTTCTTGATGGGCACTTACCTTTTATTTAAGACTCTGTTATACATCAGTTTTTGTGGATTTGTTTCTCTAAAGTACCTAGACTAATACAACGTCTTTCAAGTTTTTCAGGTTTTCTCATTCTCTTACATGCTTTATCTGTTGCATGCATTGTTTATTTTTAAAAGTTAATCATTGATTTATTGTAGTGAACACTGCAACTTTTTTTGAATGAAAAACTCTGTAGTTCTCTGAAAGTATGAAAGTTACCAATTAAACATAATATTTTTTAATGCACATATTATATATACTCCAGTATAAGCCAACCTGAATATCAGCTGAGACACCTAATTTTTTAAAATTCATTTTAATGGGGCTTGTACAACTCTTATCATAATCCATCCATCCATCCATTTTGTCTAGCACATTTGTACATTTGTTGCCATCATCATTCTCAAAACATTTTCTTTCTATTTGAGCCCTTCGGATCAGCTCACGAACCCTTGATAATTTATAAATTATTATTATTTTGTCATGACTTACACTGTCCGACATCTCCCTTCACCCACTTTCCTGTTGTCCATCCCCCAGGTAGGAGGTTATATATAGATCCTTGTAATCGGTTCCCCCTTTCTACCCCACCTTCCCTCCACCCTCCCGGTAGTCCCACTCTCACCACTGGTCCTGAGGGGTTCATCTGTCCTGGGTTCTCTGTGTTTCCAGTTCCTATCTGTACCAGTGTGCATCCTCTTGTCTAGCCCAATTTGTAAGGTAGAAATGGGATCATGATAGTGGGGGAGGAGGAAGCATAAAAGAACTAGAGGAAAGTTGTGTGTTTCATCATTGCTACACTACACCCTGACTGACTCATCTCCTCCCCCGCAACCCTTCTGTAAGAGGATGTCCAGTTGCCTACAGATGGGTTTTGAGTCTCCACTCTGGACTCCCCCTCATTCACAATGATATGATTTTTTGTTCTTTGATGCATGATTTCTGATCCCATTGACACCTCCTGTCACACAGGCTGGTGTGCTTCATCCATATGGGCTTTATTTCTTCTCAGTTAGATGATCGCTTGTTTATCTTCAAGCCTTTAAGACCCCAGATGCTATATCTTTTGATAGCTGGCACCATCAGCTTTCTTCACCACATTTGCTTATGCACCCATTTGTCTTCAGCGATCGTATTGAGAAGGTGAGCAACAGGGAATGCCAGTTTAATAGAACAAAGTACTCTTACATTGAGGGAGTACTTGAGTGGAGGCCCAATGTCCATCTGCTACCTTAATACTAAACCTATAAATATATGCACATAGATCTATTTCCCCATCATCATATATAAATACATTTACATATGTGCATATCTGTATTTAGATCTCTATAAGTGCCCTTTATCTTCTAGTTCTTTCCTCTATTTCCTTTGACTTTCCTCTTGACCCACTATCATGTTCAGCCTTCATTTAGGTTTCATAATTCCTCTCGGTTAGATTGTCCTTGATCAATCCCTACCAGGCCTCTTACACCCTCCTTCCAACTGATTTTGGGTCACTTGTTGTTTCCTTGTCCCTGGGTTTGTTAACACCACTTCCTTTCCCCCACCTCCCCCTCTCGCATGTCCCCCCAGAACCATCAGTTCCGTTGTTTTCTCCTCCAGGTTGTTTATCCTGCCTATCTTATCCAGAT